CTCTGAACCCAAGCTTCCTTCTTTGTATGCCTCTCTCATGGAGGGCAAGCTGGGGTATGCGAAAAGACAAATTCCCAATACAAGCAATTGTATATGGCCAATAAAGTGATCTCTTAACACATATTATAAATCAGGTCTAGAAGGGTGGGTTGTATGTTCAGAGTGACTCCAGCTGGCAGTGAGCATCAGACCCTTGTGCAGCAGCAGTACTGCTAAATCCATGGTTTTCTATCATCCAGCTGCAGGATCAGCACCGTGTAAGAGTGCTTACTTGAGGTCTTCTGTTCATTGAAGAACAATAAGCAATAACTGCATTATTCCGGTCTCTTCCAATAGAGAGTAAACTTTTTCACTTGCATCCAAATAGCTACTGAACTTCAGCAGTGGGTGGTAGGAACCCTGCTGTATCACCGTCTGCACCGATGGCTTAGAGAGCGAGCATGTGTGTGGCGCAACACCAAGGGAAGACTGTAGAACCCCATCTTGCAATCTCTCCTGTGTGCAGGTGTCCCTGCTGCGGATGTCCTGGAGCGAGCTCTTCGTGCTCAACGCGGCCCAGTGCTCCATGCCCCTCCACGTGGCGCCCCTGCTGGCGGCAGCTGGCCTGCACGCCTCGCCCATGTCAGCGGAGCGCGTGGTGGCCTTCATGGACCACATCCGCGTCTTCCAGGAGCAGGTGGAGAAGCTGAAAGCCCTCCAGGTGGACACGGCCGAGTACTCCTGCCTGAAGGCCATCGTGCTCTTCACTTCCGGTAAGCTCCTTCTGTGAGGGGGAGGAGGGAGGTCCTACAGCATTGTGGGAAATAGGGCTTGGCACCTGCACTCTCGTTGCAATGCAGCATGGGTATGGAAAAGCTATGGGCAAAAGGAGACAATAGTCAAACTAATTCTAGAGAGCTACAGAAATGCATTATTTAACAATGCATTATTTAACAATGCATTATTACAGATGCATTATTGAACAACAAAAATCTGAAAGTAAGGGCATGGCTGGAAGGGTATCTGCGCAATTTGATGCGAAGCCATTGCACACTGAAGCCTGTGCTTCACCGATCTTCCTCCTGCCTCTCTCTCACATCCACCCTGTAGGATTCGGCCTTTTTCAGAAGCAGATGCTGACGGAATGAGTAGAGTAGAGAGGAGAGTAGTTTATTGCCATGTGTAACACGTACAGTGGAATTCTCAACCCCGCTGGTCTCTCAGGACGCACACAGTACAACAGACAAACACCACACAATGGAAACGGCAGGAACAACAACTATGTTGTGGGAAAAGAAATAAATATGGAGCTATGAGACCAAAAGGAAAATAAAACCTGTAGACTATGTGAAAAGTGCGTAGTGCAGATGTGTATTAAGGCTCTGCAGTTAGCTGTCTTAGTTAGTGCATTAGGATAGCAAGGAAGAGGGGTGAGAGACAGAATCAATAAAACTGCTCACATGGAATCCAGTCATTCGCTACAGCTTTACTTTAGTGACTCATTTTACGTTTTTCAGGCTCGGGGACTCTTGTTCTGGTGTACAAGCTTGTATGAATTGTAGTGCTGAAGCTGAAAATGACCAAATATGGATCATTTAAATATTCTGGGAGCCTCCAACGTCTGCTGTTCCTAACAGTAAGGCGTCAAGTATGTGCCCAACATGTGGAGGTGGCTTTTACACCAGAATCTGCGTCTCGTGCTGCTGGAAATCGGGGAAACTAACCCCTGGAATTACTGGGAACATGTGACCTTCAGAGCAGTGAAGTGCAAAACAGGAGGGAAAAGAAATACCAACTACAAATTGGTTCTATAATCTGCACTATGTTTTAAACTTACCGCAGCGAGTGTTATGTGCTGTTGATTGAATATAATGAATATCTTAACCTTGCAGTGCTTTAAAAAAACTGTAGAGGCATGACTTTAAAATGTAAATTGCAGGTATTTGCACCACAGACTGTTCTGAAGACAGCTCTCTGGAGCAGCGCAAGGCTAGAGGAGACAGCCGTAAATGAAATAGTTAAGAGGAAATGTGCAGAAAAGCCCGAGAGTGGTTTCTCTTGTGGAGGCAGACCCAGATTCGTGGGGTGTCCAGCACGGTTGATTCTCTGCTTTTCTGGTTAATCCCTCTTTTCCTTTGTTTGTCAGAAACGTTTTGCCTGTGCTTGCTGAAGCCTGCACTCTTCCAAATGGACTGCTGAATGCGTTTCGGCTCTTGTTTCTCTCTTCAACCCGCTATCCATTATAGAAACCAGCAGCAGCCTCCTCCCTGCTCACACCCCCCTCCTTGGCCCCCCCACGATGTCTGAATTATACATGACGAGGAATAGCTACCAGGATTCTCCAGCTCTTGCCCTGACCTACATAACCCCTGTAGCCAGGGGCAGCTAGCTGATCTGCCTATCTTCTTCACCTCCGCTCCAGTGCACCGCGGAGCCCTGCTGGGGCTAGCCAGCGTGAGCTAACAGGGTCAGACAGACACTTTCCCTCTCAGCACGCTCCCCACCCCGCCTAATCCACTATCCCCACTCCCAGCCCGGGTCAAGGAGCCCAGACATTGATGACACCCCTGCTTTCTTCTTATCCAGCCATCCATTTTCTGGCCATTTCTTCCAATTCAGGGTCATGGGGGAGCCTGATCTTACACACACAAGGCTGGGTACTTCCTAGACAGGACGCCCGTCCATCACAGGACCCACGCACACTGAAACACACACTCACACCAGGCCCAGTTTTCCCGGAAGCCCATTAAGCCACCAGCATGTCTGTGGACTGTGGGCGGAAACCAGAGTACCTGGAGGAAACCCACGAGAACACAGAGGAGAACATGCAAACTCCACACAGACAGCACCGCAGGTCCAGAATTGAGCCCAGGGCCCCAGTGTGAGACACTGGGAGGCAGCACATGGCGTCACCCTGAACAGACTTGTACCTGACCTGACAGACCCGAACAGACTTGTATTCTTTCCAAAAAAAAAATATTTTTTTATGGAAACTTGTGGGAGAAAAAGGGCTGCAGGTCTCTCTCCTCCCTTCAGAGGGCCTTGTCATTGCTGATTCCTTAACTGACCTGCTTCCTACAACAGACAAGGGGGAGGTAAGGGCTGAGAGAGTGGAAAGTATGTCTACCGGCAAGCGTCAACCCTCCCTCGGTCCATTTTGTAAATTTCTGCCCTCTGTCCTTGGTTTCAGAATTAGCCCACTGCGGTTGTACAGCTGTCAGAACATCTTCCAAACACCACTCGGTTCAATCTATCCCCGGGTTGTGTCCCAAACTGTTGACACTAGCTGTCCGAGCTCTTAGCAGTCGACTAACCAATGACGCGCAGACACAGATGGCAATGACACAGTCTTGAATACTCCCATAATCAGCATTCTTGGTTCAGCAGGGGGGTTCCAGTTTCCTCTAGCTCTCCCAGGTGGCTGGAATGACCCTGACTGACCCCTCGCGCTTAAAATCGGGGAATCCGAGATCGCCCTTCTCAATTTCAGGAGCTGTGGGATGCCTGTGAAGTTCGCTGCTCTTTTAAACAACTGTCTGATGTAATCTGCTAACAGCAGAACAATAAGCACAGAAATGGTGCCCCCGGGAACATGTGTTCATGAACATCTCGGGGGCTATCAATGTAACTAACGACCACCAAGGGTTATTACAATGAGCCAGTATAGCGCCCCCTGGTGTGTATTGTCATTGCCTGTGGGTTTGTCTTCCTCATGGTTTCTTAAATACCAACGTTTAATAATAATAATTAATAATTCCTTACACTTATATAGCGCTTTTCTGGACACTCCACTCAAAGCGCTTTACAGGTAATGGGGACTCCCCTCCACCACCACCAATGCTTAGTGTTCCACAGTCCACAGGTCCTATGACACAGGGCACCAATGCGCTCCTGTACAAGTGCAATGCAGCTGAAGCTCAGATCCCAGGGAGGTTCTCAAACAGGTGCTGACGTTTGATCATCAGACCCAGACTGGGCTCAGGGGAATACCTGCGAGTCTGGCTGTAGTGACAGGGTGGAGACCTGCTGCTGTAACCCGGTCTGTTCCCTCTGCCTCTGTGCTTCCAGACGCCATGGGTCTGTCCGACGTGGCCCACGTGGAGAGCATCCAGGAGAAGTCGCAGTGCGCCCTGGAGGAGTACGTCCGCAACCAGTACCCCAGCCAGCCCAACCGCTTCGGCAGGCTGCTCCTGCGGCTGCCCTCCCTGCGCATCGTCTCCTCGCCCGTCATCGAGCAGCTCTTCTTCGTGCGCCTGGTGGGCAAGACGCCCATCGAGACGCTGCTGCGGGACATGCTGCTGTCGGGGTCCAGCTACAACTGGCCCTACATGCCCGTGCAGAGGGACCGGGGCCTCTCCCTGCACTACAACGAAAACGGGCCTTGACGACACCACACCCCCACCCCACCCCCCCAACACTGACTCCACTGCCAGCCCCCCCCCTCCCCCCCCCAGCCCCCTGCTACAGCAGCACTGACATACGTGCCTGCGGACTCCCACTTCATTCTGTGGAAGCAGTGTGTGCAGCTACAGCGCTGGCTTTGACACAGGGGGTCAAGATCCCCCATGTGGTGGTCATCGGGCCCCACCTCTCCCACCGCTGAAGATCCTGCATGACATGACAGCCCTGAGAAGGGCTGTAGAGCAGGGCTGGAACCGTGGCACAGTGCAAAGAGCCATGCGTGTCCATGCTTCAGACAAACAGAGGGCTAACCAGTCAGTCTGGACACTCAGAGCTCCAAGAAAGAGACATCTGCAAGTTTCCTGGGCTCTGCATGCGCTCAATAAAATCCTAACCCTGTGCAGTGAACCTGTTATGCAAAGACCTTGGACTGCTGGAGTGGGGATGGCAGGACTTGGAATGGGCATGTAGACCCTAGGAAATGGAACTCCTGCTTCTGTTGCCACTATCAGTGTAAAGGCGTATGGCTATCTGCTGTCACTGGCTTTCTTTACTCACACTGCAGTCCTCTACAGACTGGCACCTGGGGGTTTGCTGATGAAAAGCCCCTGCTGGCCCCCAAAAAAGCGCAGACTGGAAATGCTGGCATTGTTTCCACAAGGGTGTTGTTGCCCTCACAGTCCATGACCCGTGAGTGAAGGATGGTTGGACCTTACTTGGACAGGACCCAAAAAACCAGGGTGGACCATGTGTGCGTGACAGCATCCGATGACTGAGTGAGAACCACTGATGCAGGTCAGCCAAAGACAATACCATGTAATCAGCATTGTTAGAAAGCCTGCATCAACACTTATCTGTGCAGAGGCTGGACATAACAGTTTAAACATGAAGCTCCTTCTGCCAGTTCAGACAATGACAATAATCATTCAGACTGACTGATGGCGCCACTGACCCATATCATTCACAGATAGACACCTAGGGAAAGTGTTCTTTTCTAGAGATAAAAGCCCTGCATAAACCTGGAGAATTTTCTATAGGAATCGTCCACCTGCTGTATTCTAGGT